GAAGAGGAGGACTTCGATGGTTTCAGTGCACCAGAGGACGATGAATGAGACGTTTTGTTGGACCAGAAACTGTTAAAGAAAACTACCAAAATAAGGTCACTTATATGAACCGTATTCCTCCGGACTTTAATTCCTAAAGGTTTGCTTTTTATGTTTTGATGTTGAATTCACTTTTTTGATGGCAAATTTGGGTGTACTGTTTTTTTATGTTGGGGGTGCGGCTTATATGTTGATGTTCGCGGATTTTTTTTTAAAAAATGGCAGGTGCGGCTTATAATGCAAAAAATACGGTAAATATATATTTTTTAACTGTAGTTTTTATTTTTTTACCAAACTGACAAGTTTCTCCAGTAAAATTATTGTGTAATTTAAAGGCACTGAAACACCTGGTTAAATTTTGCAGATATTTATTATTAACTACAAACACCTGAAGCTGATTCAGAGAACTCTGAGATTTTAGAAGAAAATCAAAATAAAATATAGAAATGTCTTCGTTAGAATTAGGGGCATAAAAAAAACACTGTATTTCATCTTTAATGTTTTTACAGCCTTCATAAAGTGCTCCTGCTGCGGTGCTGCTCATTTGAGAATTAGGAGTTCAGGCGCCAGTTGTACATGTATGTAGGACAACAACTACACTCCAAACACATGAATATTTAAATAATAAAAGGAATTTAGACTCTCAAGTCCCAGGCATGTCGACCCTGGGTTGACCAAAAATCACTGAAAGAAAAATAAATAAATAAATAAATTAATAAATAAATTAATAAATAAACTATGAAAACAATATGAGCCCTGCTTCACCTGTTGGGGTCATAATCGTGCAACTATTAGAACTATACCTGTTTTAGTCAACAGTTAAAACAAGACAAATTTGCGCATGGAGTCAGTAAAAGAGTTTTTACAAAGTCAGACTAAAAATAAAAACTATTTTCATGCTGAACTGGCTCTGAGAGTTTGAGTAACCGGACGTGTCTGCAGAGGACTTTTAACTCAACGACCTTTACAAAGCTACCGTAACCAGCACTTGTGACTACAATGACTAATGACTCCACCTCCCACAAGCTCACCTCTCGTTTAAAGTGTGTCACTAAAGTTAACCAGTGGCTGTCTGACAACTTGTTACTTTTAAACCTCAGTAGGACAGAGACACTGATCCTGGCCCCTGAAAATAAAGAACATCTCGGCTCTTTGAGTTCAACTGTTCAGCAGAATGTGAACAACCTGGGAGTAAATCTTGACTCAGATCTGTCTCTAGATAAACACATAAACAATCTGGTTTCTACATGCTACTTTCAGCTCCATAATATCTCTAAACTCCGTCCCCTGCTGTCCACTTCAGACTTGGAAACGGTAATTCATGCTTTCATTTCTACCTGCTCAGACTATTGTAACAGCTTGTTCACCTGTCTTAACCAGAAACAGTTAACTCGTCCTCAGCTTGTCCAAAACTCAGCAGCAAGACTCCTAACCTGAACCTCCAAATTCACCCACATCTCCCTGATCCTAGCAGAACTTCACTGGCTTCTGGTTCAAAATCCTGGTCCTGACCTTCAGAGCTCGTCACGACCAAGCCCCAGAACACATTAAAAGTCTCATTTCTCCTTACAACCCCAGACGGGACCTCTGCTCACAGGATCAACATCTCCTTATGGTTCCCCTCACTCACTGTAAGACCTGTGGTGACCGGTCCTTCTCCTCTGTGGCCCCCAGGCTCTGGAATGAACTCCCTGTTAATCTGTGCTCCTTTGATAACATTGTCTCTTTCAGGTCACTCCTAAAAACTCACTTTTTACTCAAGCGTATAGCTAACCTTTCACCATTACTGCCAGCCTACCTCCACAGTGAATGCTCACCATGTGTTTTTCCTATTATTGAACATCCGGCAGATTTTTCTCTCCTCCATTCTCTTGGTTTTGTGTATTATTTGTATTTTTTGCTCTGCATTGACCGTGTGTCTGAGTTACAATTTTAGAATTTAATCTTGATTTGATGTTTCATTACGTTGCTTATGTTTTATTTTATCTTTTCTCCATTTTTACATTGTTGATGATTGTACAGCACCTTGTGAATATATTTCTGTGAAAGGCGCTTTATAAATAAAACTTTACTTACTTGTGTAAAAATACCTGCCCAACATTTTACTGCAGTAAGACGTCCATTATCAGCAGCTGCAGTGAAAATCGTGGAAGGTCTTTTTGTTCGTAGCTGCTATTTTTAGCGCTCGCTCCTTTGGTTCATTCACACAAAGTATTTGCAGCTAATCTTGTTGTCCCTGACAGTGAGTATGGCTAATCTGGAATCAGGGATTAATCCCTGCACGCTGACACTAAAAGGACAGCTGTCTGCGACACATTCCTCACGCTCACAAACACGTGATTACTCTTATGACTGGTGACGGGACTATAAACCTCTGAGCACACAACGGGAGAATTAAGTTTAATTACTAAAACTTTTTTTTAAACCTACCTTGCCAGCATAACGTTATCTGCATCATCCTTTCCCCATTCCCAGTCCTTCCCAGGATCCACAGCAAAGTGCAGAGGCAGCATTTTGTGCTCCGAGTCAGTGAGAGGAATCACAACTGCTGGTGGAAACAAACAAAAATGTGCATTAATAATACTTTATTTTACATTCATCTTGTTGGCTCTGATGATTAATTTTATTTTTAATCAGGCAAACCTTATTTTAAAAAGGCATGGACAGTGATTGTTGAACATTTAAAGTCTAGGTAAAATAAAAATGAAACTATGGCTGAGCTCCGATGATACACAATAGTTGTTTTTATCAGTTCAGGTGGAGCAGCATTGCAGCAAAAGTTGGTTTTTGTTGCTTTGTTTTCTTTAAAAATGCTCGACACATTCTTGTGTCTAATTCACCTTAAAAAACTAAATAAACTAGAGAAATTGCATTTCCTGTGAAAATGCTAGTGTGAATGCCTAAAACATTAGCTGAAAGCTGCTGAAATTGAGCTGAGAATGTTTAATAGCAAAAGTATCATTCTAAGTCAAACTTTAAAAGCTGAAAGAAGCAAAAGAAAAAAAACAGTAAAAAAGGAGCAAAAATATAGCTGAAATAGCATAAAAAAGCTACATGCTAAATTAGCTTAATTAAGCAAAAAGCACCTGTAAGAAACATGCATAACAAAGTACCAAAAAAAAATAAACACCAAAAAGCAAAAAATAGCATAGGAATAGTAGAAAATAGAAGAACTATAGATAAAATAGCAGAAAACAGCTAAAATTAGCATAAAACTAACTAAAAGTAGAAGCCAGAAGTTGAATTTAGCACCCAGATGGTGAAGTGCTGTAAAAATTGTAAAATTAGCAGAGTAAAAAGCATAAAAGTACTTAAAAGTTATTTTTATTTTTGTAAAATAGCTAAAACAACCAAAGGTTTTAGTAAAACAGCTAAAAGGTRGCTGGAAATATTTTATATTGCATAAGGATGCATAAGGAGTACAACCTTGCTGAATTTAGCAGAATTAAGTTCTAATTGTTACAAACAAAATTTGTATATAGCCTAAAAAGCTAACTTTAGCTATTAACAGCTAGAATTTAGCTTAATTTGTAGAAACTAACTGAATAAAGTAGAAAGCAACTGTAAGAAGCATAAATAGTTCAAATTAGCAGAAAAACGCACAAATAATGCAGAAGAATAGCACAAAGAAGCAGAACTGTAGCTGAAATAGCAGAAAACAGCTGAAGTTAGTAAAAAAGTTGCTAAAAATTGCACAACGGAGTAAAAAAGAGCACAACCAGAATAAATTGTGTAAGGTTTTGTAAAGATTTAGAAACTATTTAAAGGTTGTTGAAAATAGCCCCATTCAAAGTCAGTGGGAAAAACGTGGCTAAAAAAGTTGAAATAGCTAAAAAGCTATAAATAGCTGAAATACAAAACATCATAGCAGGCACTGCACGAAAGAGCTGAATGTTTTGATATATGAATGGTTGAAGTAGCACAAAAATTGTGGAACAAGAAAGGTGCTGAAAAACGTACGGAAGAAAAAACGATCTGAATAGTGTGAATGCCTGTGTGGCATTCACACAACAAGGCTGAGCCGATGCATTAAAACCCTGACAAACATGAAGCAGCAGTGCAGAAATGTAACAGCAGGCAGGGAAATGTCATCAGGAGGGAGGATTTCTGCACCTCCTTTATTTGCTGACAGTGAAACTTGAAGGTCATTAAATCTCATCTTATCTCATTACATCAAACTAAACCCAGAGAAGAGTCCACATCATGGAGACAAACTAAGCAATAAGTAACAAAGTAAGCAGTTATTAAACAGTTTGAAATAAAACAACTTTACCTGCGTGATAAGAGCAGACTCACCTTGATCTTTGGAGCTGTCCTTCTGCTCCATGGACACGAGGGCAGAGAAGTGGGCCTGGTCGTATGCCAGGACCAGGGGCGAGCGATGGCACTTGGCAGCTGGCACCTCCAGCGGCAGGTAGATGCCTCCGAACGGGATGGGAGCAAAGGCTGCAGCAGAGTTTTAAATACGTTATTATTCAAAAAGTAGGACCTCTGCGCTGCTTCCTGACCAGGAAGAACATGGAGAGGATTTACGTCAAATAGTAAAAGCTCATTTTAGACTTAATTAAATGATGAGAGAATATTTCATTTGCTGCAGGAAGAAAACTTCTCCCTAAAAACACTTGCTTGGAAAGAAAATAAAAACTAAACAGGTTAAGTAAAACTGATGGCTATAATGTTAATAAAGCCTGATGTAGTAAAAAGAAGCCTAAAACTAAATAACATAAATGTTTAAACATTTGTTTCCTGCTGCAACTCATTCTGATTTCTGACCTTGATTTGGATTAATATTTTATGTATGTATGTATTTATTTATTTATTTTTATTAAGTTTATTCATTTCTCTTTAAAAAAACATAAATTCTACATACAATAAAAATTACAAATCACAAATAAAACGAGACAAAAAGAAAAATAAATCTTATATCTGCCACTTTTTTTCAAATAAAATTAAAGACAACAATAAAAATGTACAAATAACAAAACCAAAATAAAACCAGATTAATAGATGCTTCTGTTTATTTAGTAAAACACGACAAACAGTAAATGTGACCAAACACATAAACTGAGGATCAAGACAAATTAGGTCAAAATGACTGCGGCACATTTTCAGACTCCTGTTTTTTAAGCTACATTTTGACACCTGGATCATCCTGATGATATATCATGATAATCATATAGAGATTAATTATTTTGTCTTGTTAACCATAATAACACATTAATATTTGGTCTGATTCTTATTATTGGTTGTTCTAATGAGGTATTGTTGCTGTTATTTTAAGGAGGAAAAACAAATACTATTCGGATATTAAAGAGTAACTTACCCCAAAATAAACTTTTTTTAGCTGATAAACTGTCTAGAATGTGTCTAAAATGTTATATAGTACTGTTTCTGTGCTAATTCTGATGTTTTTGTGTGTATTTGTTCAAATCTKTAATATTTGGTCTAAAAACGTCTTTTTGCTGTTCATATGGGTAGAGCAGTGGTACTGCAGGCTAATTTGCATATTGGTTAACGGCTCTCCACGGTGACGTGTCTTCTCCACGGTTTCATCACAGCGGCTGTGTTCTGGTATATATATACAGTATATACAGTATATATAGAAATAAGTAAATAAACAAACAAACAACACATGGACCAATAACGTGAAGCTTCTGGTGTTTTCACCTTCTCCTCCCGAGTCCCTCAGCATGGTGTCAGCCACCACAACAATAGGCCTCCTGAGGACGTGAGCCAGGACGAAGACGTGAAACTCCTCTAAACTCTCGTACACCGGCTCGTCAGTGGACTCAGCTCTGCAGACAGAGACAACAATCAGTTGTTAAAAAAACAAACACAAAACGGTTATCCTGAACTTTGAGTACTTTTACACTGCAGCTAAACCTCATCAGGTACAGTAGCTGTTTGACATGTTGGAGTCAAATTAAAACGTCTGACCTATAATTGAGGGATGCTGATTACAACATGTCATTTAGGTGGTTTTAAAGTGAGTTTGTGTGTTTAATGCAGAAGACTTGTGAAGGACAGACTGCATGACGACCGGCCCCTCACGTCCGAGTCGTTTGTCCGTGGAAAAAGGACGAGGCTGTGACTAAGTGTCGTGGGTTAACAGTCACTGCATTGTCAGAGGCAGACCCTACCCGTTGGTGCCGTTGGTGCTGTAGTGGATTCTTGGCTCGCTGGAGGCCAGCTTTAACAGCTCGTTCCACTCTTTCTGCCACTCCTCCTCCGTGTACACCAGGCCAGACTGCAGAGAAAGGAGGAAGGACGCGCACGCAGCCATTTAGAGAGGCAGTGTCAAATGTCACAAAAGCATGCACTGACGTTGTAGCGTCTCACAAGGATACAGACTGACGACCAAAGCCAGAGTCTCTGTGAGCTCTGTGCTCCTCGTGCAGGGACAACAGAACCACACAGACCCAGTTCTATACACCGTGTCTTATTATTCTGCCGAATGTAACAACCAACAGTCAGCGCACTCCTGACTGCTCCTCTGGAGCGGTTCTGGTTTCAGCCGTGTGCTCCAGGCCACTTCAGGTGTGGCTGAAGAATGAGTGAATATTAAACAGTTATTTGTGTGGCAGCTCCCCTGTGGGCGTCTGCATGCCGCCTGCCACCACATTAAAAAAAAAAAAAAAAAACATTCTTGCTGTGCTACAAAGTTTGCTTTCATGAGAACAAAATGCATTTTGTTCCATTTAAAAAAAGAGGCTCTTTTTGATTTGTTGTGCGTACACAGCTGTGAATGCACAAGAGCTCCTTACTGTGAGCAGGTCATGAAAAGAAAAGTGTTTACAGGATAAATACAGATACAAAAGTTCAACATTATCAAGTCATTTTTTACTGAAATAATAAAATATTTATTCCAATATAAGAAAATGAATTTGAGTTAATGCATTTTAAATGTTTTGTCACAGAAAGGTGACATATTCTGCCACATAAAGGAAGCAAATATCTTTTAAAAGTTGTGCAAAAAAGTAATAAACATCTTATCTGTTGTAGATAGCTCTTTAAATAAACTCAGGTTGCAGGAATAGTTTTTATGTTCAAAACGAGTGAAGAGCTAAACCCAAAGCTAAGACCAGAGAGCGTTGCTACGATCTTAAAACCATTTCTATCTTCAAATCTTTAATTTTACATTAAACTGTTATTTATATGATTTTATTAGCAGTTATTAGCAAACATAAATAATGTCAGTGAAAGTCAGGTGTAGCACATCCAGGGCATCCAGATGTCATTTTTTAGTCATTTAAAAACAACAAAAAAAAAATCTTAATGCAATAAAAAAAAAAAAAAAATCCAAATCACAAATAAAATGAAAAGCAGCAGAAAGAACAAAAAATCTTATATCTGCCCCCTTTCCCCCACAAAAAAATTTAAAATTAAATCAAATAAAAATACATTCAAACAATAATAATTTTCAAGTAAAATATTTATGTGTCATGTGAAACTAACAAAGCTGTTATAAAACGCCAGTAATCCACTTTGGTCTCAGCTGTTCATTAGCTGATGATTCTCCAAACTGGGGTCAACCAAGAAGCTATCTACAACAGGTAAGATATTAACGCTTTATATGACCTAACTGTCACTTTAACTTGACAGAAAACGTGCAGTTTGTGTAACCGACCTCTTTGTTCTGCTGGGTCTGCTGCCACCTCCACCGGCGCTTCAGGGCTTCCCTCTCCAAGCCGTGGTCCATCAGCGCGTACAAAGACTTGCGCAGCATCAAGTCACGATCATGAAAGCCCCACATACCTGAACCAGGAAGCACAGGGTAAACACACAAACATGTACGCCTGCACAGAGAAATGTTCACAATTATGAAGGAATTGTTCATTTTCTAAACGGGCGTCCCAAGAGAGCTCACAAACAGTTCATGAATGTGTGCTGAAAAGAAGCAATTAAAGCCTAAACTGACAGAAACTCTGACAACATGAAGGTTCACACTCCATTAGTGTTTATTTACAGAGCTGAAACTCACCGAGCGAGGCTGCATGTAACAGACAGTTTCCATCTCCACTCGTTGCCAGAGGCAGCAGACTTTGACAGTTTGGAACAACTTTTGTCCACCAGTTTAGCCGACCTGCAGGCAGATGAAAAAAAAACCCACAACATCCTGAGTCAAATGTCACTTTTTACCTGTTTTAAAGTTAACACATTCAAACAAACTTAAGGTAATAAATAAATGACTGTAGATCTGTTTAGCCCTAACCTTTCCAATGCTAACACCAGCTTATCCATGCTAGTCACTAGCCTCTCCAATGCTAACACCAGCTTATCCATGCTAGTCACTAGCCTCTCCAATGCTAAGAGTAACTTATCCATGCTAGACGCTAGCCTCTCTAATGCTAAAGCCAGCTGATCTATGCTAGTCGCTAGCCTCTCCAATGCTAATGCCAGCTTATCCATGTTAGTCCCTAGCTACTTTCATGCTAATACCAGCTTATCCATGCTAGTCGCTAGCCTCTCCAAGGCTAACACCAGCTTATCCATGCTAGTTACTAGCCTCTCCAATGCTAATGCCAGCTTATCCATGCTAGTTGCTAGCCTCTCTGATGCTAAGGGTAGCTTATCCATGCTAGTTGCTAGCCTCTCCAATGCTAATGCCAGCATATCCATGCTAGTCGTTAGCCTCTCAAATGCTAATGCCAGCTTATCCATGCTAGTTGCTAGCCTCTCCAATGCTAATGCCAGCTTATCCATGCTATTTACTAGCCTCTCCAATGCTAAGGGTAGCTTATCTATGCTAGTTGCTAGCCTCTCTGATGCTTAGGGTAGTTTATCCATGCTAGTTACTAGCCCCTCCAATGCTAACACAAATGACTCCTCCTCATTTGCCAGTATCAGCCTCTCAGTTAGCGGTGCCGACCTATCGTAAATCAGATCAATAGCCGGATAAGGAATAGATACAGCCTCCTGCTACAAGGATGTAGCAACCACTGGTTGAGCAATAGTCTTAATTTGTTCCCTCATACCACACCATAATGCAGATTGATTTATTCTATTTTGTCCACTCCCAACAGGTGAGTAGTTAATATTAGATGGAAGTTAGTTTTCAGTTGTGCTAACCAGCGTTCTCCAGCGCCACCATCATGGACTGCTCGATCAGGTCCCTCTCGATGAAGCTCCGGAAGTCGTCTCGGTACACAGTGAGGTCCGGCAGTTGGAAAGTGCACAGCGGCGTGTCGAGGAGCGGCTCGTTGCTGCTTCCGCCCGTGCTCGAGACGTGGGAGCGGGCCAACGACACGATGGTTGAACTGGCGTGAGAAATGCCCCGGGACAGACGCTTCTCTGTGGCAGTTGAGAGGCAGCAAAAAAAGAAAGTTACTCCAAACCTTGAAGACACATTTAGGAAAAAAGCAAAGGCTACATTTGAGTGAATATCAATCACTGTCGTGAGCGTCGAAGCTTAAAAACACTATTATTCATTCACTGATTCACAACTTTGACAGATTTGTTAAAAACTACGTCTAACAGGCAACATAAACTCGTCTGCCGGCCTCACCCTGCACCACCTCGTCTTGGCGGTGGAGTATCGGCCGCCCCACTCTGGCCATCTCTTTCTCAGGAGGTTGGTAAGTCCTTTCTTTCGGGAAGGAATAGGTCAGGTTGCTGGCATGCACCTGTCGCAGCTGCTCAAAGTCGCTGAGTGCAGCAGTAAAATCCCAGTTTTTACCTGCAGACGCAGAAAGGAAACATCAGCCGGACTGACTGACAGCCGGAATTTGTTTTCCGAGTCAAACAAATGACGCATTCTTATTGAGTTTAAATATTTACCACGAGGCAATGCAACCTGAGCTCTCTTATCTTAAGCAAAGGCCACCGGCACATTCCATCACTTGGGTAAATATCCCAGTTTGCTACTGCTGCTGCTGCTTTACAGCCCATATTCTTATCTGCAACTTGCACTGCTGCTAGGCAACCCAAGCCACGTTACCTCCAGCTATACATTGTCTCCATCTCTGAGCCCAGTTAACAGTAAGAGAGAAACATCCCCAGTTATTAACTTTACATCTTCATCAACCCACTCCTGAGTGGTTAGAGGGATGGATTAAAAACAAAAACACTAAATACAATTATTGTTTGCAAAAATATAAAGTTAGTTTGTCAGTAAACTCAAACTTTATGACTTTAAACTCCATTAAACATCCATCAGAGTGCCGTATTTCACCTGGTGTTCCTTTAACGGTTGTAATTCACTCACCCTCCAGCAGGTCTCTGGCCAGTCCTGGTTCAGCACCAGTAGAACGGACAAAGTCGGACAGGACTGCGTCCATGTCCACGGTCATGTGATCATGAATTCACAAGGTTGCTGGCTGCATCCGGGCATATAAAAAAACAAAACTCTAAAGGAAAACAAACACGAACTCTGCTCTCCACAGCAGCACAGCGAGTGAGGAGGTGGAGCAGTCCTCTGCTGCGAGCTACTCTAACAGCCACACCTAAAAACAGGAAAAAACACAAGAAAAGACAAGAGAAACTTAGAAACACGAGTTCATCAGAGGAGAAAACATCTACAATAAACTTTTTATGAGAAACATCTACAATAAACACTTTATAAGAGGACAGGAGCGATAGTTAACTTATTTTTAAATAACTATTTTTTTCCAAGCAGGTTTTAAT